GCCAGGTGATTGCCTTATTTCGGTCATGGAGCAAATATCCTGGTCGGCTCGAGGTGACAAAAGATAACAAGAAGAGAACTTGCCTAGTATATTAAGTAGAATTAACTACTCTTATATATATTTACTTAATAATATAAATAAAAAGACTAAGTTTTTTATAATAATATAAAATAACTTTTTTTTACCTTTATTATATCTATAGTATATGTGAAAGAAGTAAGTCCTTTATATTTTTTTATTGTCCGAAACATACGCGTATCTAAGTAACTGCATTATCCAGTGAATTAGCTATTACATCAGTCATACTCCGTGAAGCCTGTATGGTTTATTAAAACCCAAATTCTTCGCGCACAGCCTTGCTCAGGCGCTCAATACCAGGCACTAGCTCCGGCTCTGTAGCAGCAGCAAATGTGACGCGAAGGGCAGCCTCGCTAACCTGCTTGGGGTCGGCGAGGAACCAACTTCCTCTGCTGATCAAGACGCCGTTGTCTCTCGACCTCTCGTACAGAGCGCCCTCAACCTCCATCTGGAACTCGGTGGTAGGCTCGCCGCCCGAAGCTTTGGGGTGCTTGGTGACGTCCACACTAATCCATAAAAACATGCCCGAGGTAGGCACCTTCCAACTACAAATGTTCTTAGGCAAATGTTTCTCACATGCCTCGAGCATCATATTTAAACGGTTAGTGTAGACGTCGGATAGGTGCGCCAGCCATCGGACAAAGCCAGTGTGGCCCCAAGTCTGATCGAGGAGCTTATACATCATGACTTGCGAAGGACCACTAGGTGACATGACGCTGACTTCAGAGTAGGCCTCGAATAGATCAACGATTTGAGTGCACGCAGTAAGCCAGCCGAGGCGCATTCCCGGCGAAAGAATCTTCGAGGTAGAATCTAAGCGGACCACACGGCCCGACACATCCAGAGAGAGGTATGATGGGGGAAGTCTTTCCACGTACTCTTGAAGGGCTTCCTTGCTACCAGACTCGTGCTTGGTGGATCTACCCATTTGGAGGAAGAAGTAAGGGTCATCTTCCACAATGATGAGATCATGCTTCTCGGCAACCTTGTAGATCTCCTTGCGGCGTTTGACGCTCTGAGAAACACTAGTTGGGTTTTGACCGGTAGGGATCGTGTACAAAACGTATGGTTTGTGGGCCTTGGAGGCATCCCAATTCTCCAGCGTGCTGTCCAGCTCCTTGGCAGATAAGCCAAAGTCGTCCATGCCAATAGGCACCGTGTTGATTCTCTGCGCGCGGGCCCCTACAATTGTGCCCGTGTACGAGTACTTCTCAACCAGGATATTGTCGCCTGGGTTGCAAAAAATGCGAAAGACCATTTCAAGGCCAGATGTGGTTCCGCAAGTCAGACTCGTCTTCCAGTCCTCGTACGGTGGGTTGTGAATCATTTCGACGTGCTCTGTAATGAAGCGCACTGACTGCGGCGATCCGGCGGGGAAGCCATAGTTGAGAGCAGCCGCCAAGTTGTAGGCGCTCTCGCCCTTGGAGCAGGTAATGGCGGTTGTGGGCTTGTTTTCCTTGGCCGAAGCGTCATCAACGACGTTGACCGTGAGAGACTCGTACGGGTAAAACTGTGGCGACGGACGCGCAGTGCCTAATGTAATCATGTCCATGTTCTTGCCGCGGTTGGCTGCCTTGAGAGGCGATGATCCCTGAGAGCGGCTGTCTAGACTGAGACGATGATTCCATGGCTTTGATCTCGATTTGCCCTGTCCAGCATTCTTGGACTTGAAAAATGCCGATGTGGTGTAGGCGGCGCTGTCCGTGGGCAGAGGTTCGGCCTGAGCGCGCAGCGTCTCAAATTGGGCGATGTGTTCCGCGAGTGATGCCATGTCTGCCGAAATTGAATTTCGTCTATATCAAGTAACAAAAGTGTTCTGCAGTTATATTGAGCATCAGTGATTATCAACGAGCGAAATCTTCGCACTTGAGCGCTGACACTTATACGCTGAGTCGGAAACGGCGTAGTGCACCTACAAGCCGGAGTAGTCGGCGTAGTTGATGGCGGCCATTATCGGCAAGGCCAACACAAGCCGCACCCTATGGCAGGCACTGTGCAGTGGAGATCAGCATTGGCTGCAACCCACGATCGAGTCCTCGAGGGACCACTCACCCCCACCACTTGGCTACGCCGAAGCCGGCGTGCTAGAGGGCAGGTGCGGAGTAACCAACCAGTATATAGTCCAATCATACTCTTCAACACTTCATTCAGCTTCAAGTACCGTACTCCAGCACTCAAAAGAAACCATGCCTGGGACTATCAAGCTCGCTACATATCTGTTCAAGCGCCTCCAGCAGCTAGGCGTTGACTCTGTCCATGGCGTCCCTGGCGACTTCAACCTCACGCTGCTGGACTACGTCGAGCCAGCCGGCTTGCGATGGGTAGGAAGCGCTAACGAGCTTAACGCAGGATATGCGGCCGACGGATATTCCAGAATCAAGGGAATTGGCGCCATTGTTACAACTTTTGGTGTTGGCGAGCTGTCCGCAATCAACGCTATTGCTGGTGCCTTTTCGGAGAGAGCACCTGTGGTTCATATTGTTGGCGTTCCCAGCCGTCCTATGCAAGACAGTCGCATTCTCGTCCATCATACCATGAAGGATGGAGACTTCACGCGTTTTGCGCAGGCGCAGGCCCTTTTCACAGTCGCCCAGACACGTCTTTGGGACCCCAGAACCAGCGCTGAGCAGATCGACGAAACCCTAAGACAGTGTTTGCATCACAGCCGTCCAGTTTACATCGAAGTGCCCGTCGACATGGTGTCTGCGCAAATCTCGGAAGAGCGATTGTCCCAGCCGCTGCGATTGATCCAGCCTAACCCCACCAAAAATCAGGACCGCCTGATTCACAAAATATTAGACAAAATACACATGGCAAAGAAGCCCGTCATTCTGCTCGATGGTGAGAGTCGAGGAATTGGCATCGTCCCGGATGTGCAAGAATTTTCTAGGGTCACCGGTTGGCCTACGTACGTGACTGGATTCGCCAAGGGCTTGTTGGACGAGACTGAGCCGAATTTTCATGGCATCTACAAGGCCAAGTTTGGCGAGGCGGCTGCGGAAACCTTTTTCAATGAAGCCGATTCGATTCTTTGCTTCGGCCCCCATTTCAGCACCACCAACTCATATGGCAATGCGGCTCTCCCCAATCCAGCCACTACTATTTCCTTTAGCCACAACGAGACTGTACTGCAGGCCCAGCTCATTCGCGACACACCAGCAAAATATCTTGTGCCCAAAATTCTTCAAAGTGTGGATGCAGCCAAGGCCAAGAGCGTCTACACTACGTATCCTGATCTCCCAAGAGACTCGATCCTCCCCTTTTCAGAGGTTCCTCCTGATGCCCCGCTTGCTCAAGATCGCCTGTGGAACGTTGTTGGCAACTTTCTCCGCCCAGGCGATATTCTCATGGGCGAAACTGGCACATCTAGCTATGGCTCGCGCATCGTTCCGCTGCCAAAGCACTCTCGCTACTTTACGCATGTAACTTGGCTCTCCATTGGTTACATGCTGCCTGCCGCCCAAGGCGCTGCAATGGCCACCGAGGAACTGATCAAAGCATCAAAGTTCCATCAAGATGTTAAAGAGTCGCGAACCATCCTCTTCATTGGAGACGGCAGTTTCCAAATGACAACGCAAGAACTTGCTACAATTATCAGGCACAATCTCAATGTGATTGTTGTGCTTGTCAACAATGACGGCTATACCGTGGAGCGTTGCATTCACGGCAAGGATGAGAACTACAATGGTATTTCGACTTGGAACTACCTAAAAGCACCTGCCCTTTTCGGCGCTAGGGACGACGCTTACACGGCGACCGCTAGAACATACGGAGAGCTGGAAAAAGTATTCAACGACGAGAAACTCAAGGATGGGAAGGGTCTACGCATGGTTGAGATTTTTCTAGATCGCGATGACGCACCCAAGGGCCCTCTCTTTGACTATATGGAAATCCAAAAGGCTGGTAACGGCATTCTGGTTGAAAAGGAAGAGCTGGCATAGACGCTTTCAGAGCCCACGTTACGACTTTATACGAATCGCCCCCACACAAGATACAATGGCAAACATAGATTTAATGAACATCGCTTCAGAATATTACCTACCTTTGTGAACTCTTGTTACATAGATGACAATGTCGAGACCTGCGTGGCTGAGTCATCAGCCACCGTCTTTGGTGTGCGAGGCCGGACACGCTCCACCGACTACTCCGACCAGCGTATTCCTTCTACATACCTCGAATCACTCTGCCTGTGTGGATTGGCCGTAGAAGCATCACCATGCCGGCAACTCGTAAAAAGTTTGCAGCCTGCGACCCGTGTAGGGCTGCCAAAGTGGCGTGCGACCACGCGCGACCGGTGTGCATTCGGTGTCAGAACCAATCTCGGCAGGCCGAGTGCGTCTACCGCGCCTCGCCGTTCAAGAAGACGAAGCGCGCCCCGGAGAAGAGCACTACTCCGGCGACACCCGGACTTATGAGGTATGGGTTCGACCGGGCCCTTTCTGCGACACCATTGCTACGTCTCGGGGTCTGGCCCATGCGGGTTCTGCGGCATTATGTACTGACACTGGCATGACAGCAGCCACACGCCGGGCAGACGGCAGAGCTTCGCCGCCAATGGCAGGACGCCCGTCCTGGGAGGCGATGCCGTCGCTCCCAAGCCGCATAGATACCCAAACCCCGGCTATCTAGGCTCGTTTAGCTCCACCACCTTGTTCGGGAACCTGCCGGATGGGCGGGACCCGGTTCTAGGCGACGTCGACGGCCACGGCGTCAACTCGGACAACCCGGTGCGCGAGGCCAACGTTACGCGCGGCGCGGGTCTCATAAAGCAGATCGAGGCCACCGTCTCCATCGAGTCCTGCTGCAGCCTGATTCTGGCGTGGACGGCCCGCGGCTCCAGTCTGCCGCTGGCGGGCCCCTTTCTGGACCACTGCATTGGGACCATGCGCCAGCTGTTTCCCAACCAGGGCCAGACAGCCGTCGCGAGCACGGAGCTGTCGCGGAGCCTCTTTCATCACACCAGTCTCCCGATCGATATGGCGTCTAGCACGACGCTGCATGATTTTCAAGCACAATTTGGCCACCAAAGGTGCCGATGGGAGACATTTGGCTTCTTCTTCACGGCGGCTTCGAGGGCGGCGATTGAAATGTCCAAGTTTGATTCGGCGCGGGAATATCGAGACTTGCAGCGGCTGGGTATGAACCTGTCGGATCTCAGTCTCGACATTGCCTTGTCACTGGATTGTTTAAACGACTTGCAGCTGGTTTTGCAATACGAAAACTGGATTCTTCATTCTTTCGTCGATGGCGACCAGAGTATGTTGCTCGGCTGTTACAGGCAACAGGTGCTAATGTGCTCGCAGGCTATCACTCTTGGAAGAGACTAGGAGACGTCATCAGCTCTATATATGCTCTGGGTCTGCACCAACAGTCAAACAATGACCATAGTAGCTTGCCACCTTTTTTGCTCGAGCTCCGGCGGCTCACTTTTGCCCTCACATATTCTGCCGACAAGAATGTATCCATATTCCTAGGACGGCCGCCGCGCATACACCTCAAGTATTGCAAGCTCATACTACCCCGCAGCGATCGCGCTGTCGAGCCGTGGCGGACAACTTGGCCGCAAGACATGCCATTTGACTACGTCGCCGACATTCGCTGGGGTGCACTCTGTGGTATCCTTAAAGAAGACATTATGGAGCTCTTTAGCCTCGAGGGTATCAATGATGGCCACCCCAAGGTCAGGTACGAAAGGCTGGAGCCACTGCGAAACAGTCGACTATCTGCTAACCCGGCGACTGTAGGGAAATCTACGACAAGGCACATGCACAATGGCAGGCTCTGCCTCCGCACTTTCGTCTTGAGAGCTCGCTGAAGCAGTGCAACCAAGCGCCGATCGTACGCGACTTTATCCTCAACGCGCGCCTCAATCAGCTTCACATTCTCTTCCTCCTCCGCATGGCCGTGGCCCGATCGCGGCCCGAGTCCGACGCGGAGCTCGTCTCCATCGCCGCCGAGATCCTGACTCTGATTGTCGAGGCGCTCATGCAAAAGGACTACCTCGTCAACTCCAACACGTCGCTGGTGTGGAAGGTGGCCTACTACGGGCTGTCGGCCGCGGGCGTCATCAGCCTGTGGCTCCTGCACGAATCGTCCAAAACGCAGCCGCACCCCAACGTCGACACGTCCAAGGTCTTTCAGAGCCTCAGCGTGCTCGTCCTCGAGATGGAAACGGGCGTGCTCATAGAGACGGACGACCCCAACTACAAGCTCCTCGTTGACGCCTCCAAGACGATTGGCTGCCTACTTTCGCGCCTCATCCTCGGCCGCGTGGCGCCGCCGCAGAGCGGAGAGGCAGTCGTGGGTGCAATGACGGCAGCGGGCAGCACGGCGGCCAAGTCGCCGTCGGCGGCCATGATGGAGACGCACGATGTGGCGGCGGCGCAAGGCGGCTGGAACGCGTGGGACGGTCAGACCCTCCACGATTTCGAGTCGGATTTCTGGCTGAATCTGGCTGAGCATCCGTTCCTAGCTGGAGGTGGAGGTAATGACTTGTAGACTCTAGCGCGCACAAAACCGTATATTCCAACAAGCATCCCAACGCCAGCGTTTCGTAATGGGCTAGCAACATTGCACATGGCAACGGAGTACTGTGTTTTTCAGCATAGTATGTCCTCAATATTCTTCATGAATAATCAGGTACAACACAAATCCTGCTGTCACTTAACTATTACAACTCTGAAACAAACAATAGTATCCATGATGAACGCCCTAGTCCATCTCCCATCTCCCACTCTTGCCTCCATCTTTCAGCACCACCCTCAGCCCGTCCACCACCATGCCTTTATCCACCGCCTTGCACATGTCGTACAGGGTCAGCGCCGCCGTCGACGCCGCCGTGAGCGCCTCCATCTCGACGCCCGTTTTGCCGTCGCACTCAACCGTCGCGCGCACCTCGACACTGCGCTCATCGCCTAGCACCACGTCCACGCTCACGCGCGACACGGCAATGGGATGGCAGAGCGGAATGAGATCCGGCGTGCGCTTGGCGGCCATGATGCCCGCGACGCGCGCGACGCCGAGCACGTCGCCCTTTTTCAGCTGGTTGGTGCGGATGAGTCGCGGGGCGACGTCGGTTGAGAAGCGCACGGTGCAGGCAGCGGTGGCGACGCGCGCGGTGACGGCCTTGCCGGCGATGGAAACCATGTGCGCGGAGCCCGTCTTGGATACGTGCGTTAGTTTGGGGAGGTTGGTGTCGTGATCATCTTCGTTGTGTCGTCCTGAGGTTGAAGAAAAGAGTCGCCGTTGGTGGGATGTAAGGAGGTGTGGCTGTGTCCTGTTGATGGTGTGCTTCAAGCTGCGATGCATGGCGCCATGTAGGGTTGGTGCAACGGGATCTACACAGTTGCGTCTCAGCCCCAGGCATGATATATAGAAGGAAAATGTCAAGGTATGAAGGCGGGTCTCGCACCGTTGTGCGCCTTATGCAAAACGCCATTCAAATGCCGTAAACTGCCGCAAACGTCGTGGAGAAAATTGGAGTAAAGCGTTCGTTTATTACCCACCTATTAGAATCATGGGCCTGTTCTTCATGTGTTCGAGTTCGCCGATACCAGCATGCTTAGCCTTTTTGCGTTTGACGGCCATGTTGATAACGTCCAGCAGCTCAGCCTCGTTCGGTGCCACGCCTAGCGGTGTGTCGGGAGACACCAGGCCTTGGCGGCGGTCCATCTCAACCTGCTTCATAGCCTCGTAGACCTCTTGGTCGATGGGCTCGCCGCCATTGGACTGGCGCAGTAGATCACGCAGCGACACCTCGGCGTTGCCAAAGAGGCACACCTTGAGATTGCCGTCGCCGGTGATGCGCAGGCGGTTGCAGGTGCCGCAAAAGTTGTGCGTCATGCTCGTGATGAAGCCGATGCGGCCGGCAAACCCGGGGACGTGCCAAGTCTTGCTGGTGTCGTTTTTGTGGTCCTGCACCTTTTGCAGCGTAGGATATTTGACACGGATCATATCGAGCATCTCGTTGTAGCCGAGCATCTTGCGTTTGTTCCACTTGTTGCCGTCAAACGGCATGTACTCGATGAAGCGGATCTCAATATCCTTGTCGCGGGTGAGATCCACAAAAGGGAGCACCTCGCGATCGTTGACGCCGCGCATGACAACGCAGTTAATCTTAAGCTTGATGCCCGCGCCAGCTCGATTCATCTCCAGCAGGCGGTCTATGCTGCGCTGCACAGCGTCGAAGCCCTTGCGGCGCGTCATGATCTGAAACTGCCAGGGGTCGAGCGTGTCGAGACTGAGGTTAATGCCCGTGAGGCCGGCCTCGACCATGCTGTCGAGCTTGCGGTGCAGGGAAATGCCGTTTGTGGTAAGGCACAGCTCGCGGAGGCCGCGCGACCGTAGCGCGCCAATCTGGTGCATCAGCGGCACAATATCGCGGCGCACCGTGGGCTCGCCGCCCGTGAGCCGGATCTTGGTGACGCCCTGCGAGACAAAGACGGACGAGAGCATGACGATTTCTGGCGTGGTAAGCAGTTCGCGGCTCGGTGAGAGCGGGACACCTTCCTCGGGCATACAGTACAAGCACCGCAAGTTGCAGCGTTCCGTGACGGAGATGCGGAGGTAGTCATGCTGCCGGTGGAAGGTGTCTGTGAGGAAGTCGGAGAATGGCTTGGCGTCCCGTACGCGCTGGCGACGAGCCGAAGAGTCTTGTGCAGTTGCGCCGGCGATAACGCTCGACTTGCTCTGCTGAGCTGCGGCGGTAGTCAAGCGCCTTAAACCTGAAGAGACGGACTTGATGCAGCTGGACGTGTGCGATAAAAGCGACCAAGCCTCGACGCGGGGTGCCCGCTGGGGTAGCTGTCGTAGGCACTGCATTGTGAGATGGAGTAAGGGAGATCGGCGGGCGCGCTCGTAGTCCTCAAGCTTACGACGGAGGATATTTATAAAAGACTCATGCTATAGTAGCGCCTGCCCGAGCTCTCTATGCTGTCTGGAAAGCTATAGAAGCCGAGATATATACAGATGTTAAAAGTAAAATTATGATAAGGCATGAGCTGTTCGCCACAGGGATAGGGCGCGGCGATTACTCAGCATCAACGGCTGCTGCTGGAGTGGTTTTTGGTGGTTCATCAGTGGGTTGCCATGCAGGCCATGGTAAGCGGGTGGCGGCCATCCCCGTTAATAACGGCTGGCGGGCGGGGTTGCTATACTCACTACATATGATTGTGGATTTCTTGGTGCCCCCCTTGCCCCCTCACATGCGGAACGGCTTGACTGTCAAAAACTCACTCTCTACAGAGTAGATTTAAAAGAGTCGTATGCATCTTGCAACTTGAGCAAAGATATAATAAAGAAATAATTATGATTCTCCGCTAGAATCAATGCTCACCTGATCTCTAACCTCGACTCATTTTTTTACGCAACGAAATCACGTTTGATACAGGGTACGACAGGCGTCGGTGCACAAAACGGTTGGAAACACCATCCCAAAAGCTTCACGCGGCCCAACCACACACGTCTTCCAGCGGCCCAAAGCCGAGCGTAATCCGACCCAGAAAGCTCGTAAAACTTACAGAAATCACCAAAAGTCATGCTTGCCCCTCTTAAGCCTCGTACGGATCCCATATGTCCTCGGAACCTTTTTAGAATCAAACGTCTCCATCTCGTCTCCATCGTCCAATAGACCCACGGCAAGATGGCCGAGTATGGTTATGGCGCCAGGTTAAGGTCACCTTAACACCTCAATTCCTGGTGGAGCAATCCTCCTGGGTTCAAATCCCAGTCTTGTCATTATCTTTTTGCTAAACTCTCTTTCTTGAGTTGTATCCGGCTAAAGTAAGCTTGCTCACATACCTTGTCGCCTCGGTTCAACATCTGAAACTGCTCCAACGGTAACGGCACCAAGGCCGAGTACATTTTCTAGCTGAAATATCTCTTCTTCTTGACCTGGTCAGGAGTATTTTCATGTAACCTTTACTATGCCGCCTCAACATTGAAGCTGTTCCCACAGCAAT